GAAAATAAAAAACGTATTTGAACTTCCTAAATAAATAATAAATAATTCACAAAAAATACATACCAAAATATACATTACATCAAATATGATAAACGCAATTTAAAAAAATAAATATTCTAGCTCTTTTAAATGTAAAATTGGCCTGGGAAAAGTTCAAGAAAAATTATTAATCATTATATGCATACAAATAACTCATAATACTTTATTTATATCTGTGCAAATGCACAAGTCAAATACTAGTAAAATGTTAAAGCATGCGAAAGCAAATAAAATCATTAATAATATTTGACCATCCACTCGTCTTCGGTCTCGTCATGCCCCACACTTGCTTAACCTGCATCCATGAAGAGTAGGTGGTGATGAGCACAAACATAAATGAGGTGCTCACCGCTATGCATAATATATTGATAGGAGCCATATACTAGAGTCATATGCAAGTATATGGTCAAAAGACATAACACACCACTCTTCTACTCATCATTATACTCATGTGCACACCTATCATAAGCCGCCAGGGGTAAGCCCAAACTCGTCAGCAGGAGTACAGTCGTGCCGAGGTTCAACATCAACGGTCACGGGCCATCGACTAGGCTAAAATGAGTCCACCTATCACAAGGTTGGAGATCGCCTACCACTAGGCACCGTCTCATGACTCACACATACATTCATAGATCACTAAGTATAAAATTTTTACCTCAATTATAACATAGCAAATTTAAATAAAACCCACTGATAAATCGGTAGAAAGCACACAAGTATGTCGGTAGGTCGAGGGCTCGACTCCTCAAACACCTACATTAAGTCCAGATGCTATAATCAACATCCATTTGACTTAAATATGGAAAACACAATCATACTTAGTCGAACTTGATTCGACTAAGTTGTTCGTGAAGTCCTGTGGACATTGGAACACTTAGACTCGACACTAAGACTCAACCAAATACACATGGGAGTTCACATAATCTCAATAAAAGATTGACCAAGTCAAACACATAAAGAAACAGAAGGCGAGTCGATTTACCGTTTTTATTGTAAAAGCAATATATTTGTAAATACTAGTTTTTTAATCACAAAAACAAGTTATGCTCTGAAACTTTAACCAAAAATTCATCTCCCAGAACTTAGTATAACCACCAATTTTCAGCCCCAAATTCAAAGTATGCTATTTTATAAAATTCGAGCAAGTTTATGGCAAAAACGAGCATAAATTAACGACCAGACCAAGAGAATGACTCACACTCTGAAATTTTTATCCAAGGAACCTCAGCATGTGAATAGCATTTTGTAAAAATCTCAGCCTAAACACTTAACATGCGAATTAATAAAATTGCTACAACATTCAGCAGTTTTCGCATTTTAAATAAAACCGAAATATTATGAACTCCAAAAATTCTAATATTTTAACACCATGAAAATACACATAAAAAAAGCATCTCAGCCAAAAATCAAAATTTTCCAGTAACTAACCAATTTATGAAAACTAAAACACTATTTCAGCAGAAACTGTAAACAAATTATTCTACCTATCAATATCAATCCAAAAATTCTAAAAATCTTACACAGCAACCAAATCAGGCAGATTGACAACCTATTAAAATTGCATGAATTGTGGAGCACTACACAATTTATTATGAATTAAAAATGAATCTGACCAAAAATCACTATAATTTTTAAAAATAGCTACAGACCTCCGAAAATTCTGAAATTTTTACACAAGCTATATAATGACCAGAGGCATTTACGGTAAAACTTTCACAACAATCGGATCAGTATATAACTTTTAAAAATTCAAACATCGAAACAACAAGCATAAACAATCATAAATTCATAAACGACTCAATTTACGACGAAATCGTCCTAGGTCTTCACCATAAGACCAAGGACTCGATATGTTCTAGCCCACAGTAACATAATCACGAATTGACGAGTTTTCTTTCGATTTCTCAAAATCAAAGAGCTCGTCTATACACATAATTATATAAACACATAACAACTCTTGGGCATATTTATAAACATTCGAGAGTCACGATCAACACAACAAATAAACGCA